GGGCTCCAAATACAGAAATTTATTTTATATAAGTAGGAAGCTAAATGGTACACATTTAGTACACAAAAGAAAGATAGGAAAAGATGAGCTACTTCTGGAAATCAGTAGGAGAAATTTTTCTTCTCATGAAAATTTAAAGATATTTTTGTTATCCCTAATTTGTTTATAAGATAAAGCAATCTATCCAGGTAAAAAAAAAAAAAAAAACTTCTATCACAATAAAGATCAACTAACTTAAGTTATACCAGCAGCTCCCTAAAATGAAAGTTTTCTCTTACATTATGATGAAAGAATCTGGTCACTTATCTTCAAGTAGAATCTTAATATCTGTAGTTTTATGCTGATTTGTATCCCGTTTGGGTAGAAATGGATATGAGTGTTTATCTTACATAATAGCTTGCCACAGCTTACTACTTGAAATATGTAGCATATGGAAAATGTGTTTAGCTCCTTGTGGAATTTCACAAACCAAAAAAGGATCCATTTCTATTCACATGGCTTGTTTACAGTCATTATAAAAGTATGTTACTGTGTTGCTTACCACTTAGAAAAAGCAAATATTGGCGCACTGTAGACTCTATTGCATTGGTCTTTAAGAAGTATATGTATTGCTTTCCCGTTTAAAAAAAAGAGAGATTATATTTCTTGTGTTTTAGACCTAAACATTCTTTTAAGGATCTATTTTTAGTCTTCGACCTTATCACTCTTCTAGATACTTTATAGTAGTTATGCTGAAATTTTACATATATATATTAGAGATTGTGCTCATGCTTAAATGAATTATCATTGAGGGATTAATCTTGTAACCTTTTATGAGCATGTTTTATTAATATCTTATCATTAAATTTAATATTAATAATATTTAACATTTAATAACCATAGAATGTGTATGTAGGAATATATTTTGTGCCAGTGGGTTTTGAAAATGTGCAAAGGTCACTATACTAGTATAAAAATTATTAAACATGCTCCCCATAATATATTAATTGCACTCATTCAGTTCATTTAAGAGGCAGTTCTGGATAACCAAGATTATAATACTTTTGTTTGTCAGCATGCTTAACAATATGCCTTCCAGGAATGGAAGTATTTGGTATAGCTTTTCAAAATATCTGTTGCACTCTTACATTCTGGAAATATATTTCCCGAGAAATGATTTATAATTAAACAGAAAACTGATAAAGTAGAAGGAGAGAATTTAAAACTATAACTATTATACTAATTTAGTTATTCTTATTGGTAAAGCAGTATATGTTGTCTATAAAAGAGTACCTTTTAATTGATTGAATAATTAAAGTATATTTTAAACTGTTTTTATCTTCAAAAGATCTTAATTATTAAATCATTTACCTTTCATATATATATATTTGTTTGTTTGTTTAAATGGCTCACTATGAATTTAAACATTTGGTAGGTATCCTGACACTAAAAATCCACTCTTTTTTTAAAAATGGCAATTGAAAAAGATTATGTAAAGATGAAAAAAATAACTTTTATATAGGCTATGTCAGGTAGGAGAATACATGTGACTATCTGAAGCAGTTTTATCTCCATTTGGAAAAATTCCATGGTGGTATCAAGGTTCCTCTGTATTATTTGGTTTCTTTTATTTCCCACCCCCCCTTAATGATGCAAAACGAGTAAAAATATTTAGGGAAATTGTCTTTAGGTATTTCACTAATTCTCACTATTTTAAGTTATTTTAATAAAATCAAAACTTATACATAGAAACATGTACATACGGATACTGTACATATGTACATGTATAATGGCTTGCACGATTACATTAGCATGGTTGAATGGCTACTTCTGACAATCCCTTTAATTTTATGAACACTATGGGAATGGCAGAAGGGAAATCTCTATTCTAAAAAGAGTGTTCTAATTATGGAAACAGATCCCAATTTTTGGATCGGAGTACAACTTATGACCAGAGAATTGTACATGATCCACTTGCTACTCCATTTGGAAGATGTTTTTCTCCCTCCCATATTCAGGGAATATATGTTTCCTAATACAAGTTTTATACCTGAATTCAAGAATATTTGGAATCTAGAGAATACCTTTCTTGCTCTGGGGTTTACTAGTTTACTAGTTTACTCATAGGCACAAAAATCAAGAATATTAGATCATTAGCGATAGTTCTCATTTTAGATGATCTTTTTTGAAAATTCATTGAAATAGCCTCAGAGTTTAAAGATCTTCTGCCCTACTGCCACCCACTATGTACTTACTGTCAACTTAGATTTTTCTCCAAAGACAGAAATTTAAGACAGTTTTATTCTTAAATAGTTAATGCTTAAGATGCAAAATAAAATGGATTGATGTAATTTACACCAATATTATTGAGGATCTACTAAGTTCCCATCACTGAACTAAGCCTGATAAAAATTTAGGTAATTAAATCACCATGACTGAAGATCTCCTATGTTCACAACACTAAATGAGACCCGATAAAGAAGTAAACCTGGTGTGTAAAGCAATGATATCCTGGCATATCCTTTAAAATATAGGGTACAGGGTCCCACCACAGAGAAGGAAAGACCCTGAAAAGATGGGGAAGTCACTATCATCAGAGACCAGTTATATACATAAAGAAAAGAGATGACTTGCAGGATTCTGGTGTGAGTGATTAGGTAGATTCAGTACACCACAGAGTACAAAGTGGGAAGTTCAGGAGAAGCTGAGATAGAGGAGTTAGGATGAGATAGGAAACAAGAATTCAGAACTCTCTATAAATGGAGGTTAGTTTCAGGGAAGGTATAAATTAGTTAAATCTGTACCATAGCCCTCACTTCATCTTCTCAAAATTAACCATCACTGTGTAACTCACATCTTTGTCCCCTTTCATCTGGACTAAGTGGTTCTCCAGGCTTTGTATTACAAAGTGATCATGCCAAATAAAATCTCATAACCTTTCTCTTTTGCTTAAAACCTTTCACCGGTTTCTTATGTCTGTAAGAAAAAGTGTGATTTCCTCCACTTGGTATGGAAGGGCCGATAGGATGGCTGGGCTCCCTCTCCCAGCTCCGGTACAGCTGCCCTTGCTGGCCTTGCACATTGTTCATACAGAAACTCTGGTATTGATCCACTGGGCAGACCAAGCTATTCTATTTATATCTGCCTCTCTCATTAGACCATGGAATTTCAGTTAATTTGGGCTGGGAATAAGTTAAATGATGTAATAATCCATAGTTTTCTGCCAAAATGCATCTCTTTCTATCTATCAATGATAAAAGGGAGCACTTTAGATTTGCCCAAGGCCAAATTCTTCTTTCTAAGAAATTTGGATAAATTTCAGGGCACCATTTAATATACACTCCACACTTATGAGAAGATAGCATTCTAAATATCAAATATATACAAAAGAAGAGAGAATGTATAATGCATTCTATTATCCAATTTCAACAATTTTTAACTAATGGTCAATCTTGTTCCATCCATACTGTCCATGGCTCTACTCCCCTTTTTCTTCCCGGATGTTCTGAAGCAAAATCCTAGACATGATATAACCTTTCATTCGCAAATATTACTATATGTATTTCTAGAAAATAAGGACATTTTTGAAAACATACTGAAAATACCATCATCACACCTAAAATATTAACAATTCCTTAATATTAACAAATCTCCAATTAGTATTCAATTTTGCACTGCTTCTCATTCTTTAAACACTTTGAGTAAAAACCTGGTGAAGTCTCTACTTCATGACTGGTTGATATGTTTCTTTTGGTCTAAAGCAGTTGTCCATCAGGGGCAATTTTGCCCTGTAAGGGACAATTTTGGCAGTCTGGAGACATTTTTCATTTTCACAACTGCTATAGACTGAATGTTTGTATCCTCCCAAAATACATGAGTTAAAACCCTAACCCCAATGTGATGGTATTTGTAGGTGGGATCTTTGGGAGCTAATTAAGGTTAGATGAGTTCATGCAGGTGGGGCCCTCATATTGGGACAATTGCCCTCATAAAAAGAGGAGAAGAGGGGCGCCTGGGTGGCTCAGTCGTTAAGTGTCTGCCTTCAGCTCAGGTCATGATCCCAGGGTCCTGGGATCGAGCCCCACATTGGGCTCCCTGCTCAGTGGGGAGCCTGCTTCTCCCTCTCTCCCTCCCCCTGCTTGTGTTCCCTCTCTCGCTGTGTCTCTCTCTGTCAAATAAATAAATAAAATTAAAAAAAAAAAAAAAAGGAGAAGACACAGGATCTGTGTGTGTGTGTGTGTGTGCACCAGGCAAGGACTTGTGAGAACGGAAACAGGAAGAAGACTCCAACCAAGAGCCCAGCCGTGCTGGCACCTTGGTTTCAGACACCCAACCTCAGAACTGTGAGAAATAAACCTTTGTTGGTCAAGCCACACAGTGTATAGTATTCTGTTATAGCAGCCTGAATTCACCGACACAACTAAAGGGGAGTGCTGCTGGTATCTAGTGGCTAGAGGCCAGGGATACTGCTAAACATCCTGCAATGCATAGGACAGCTACACAATAAAGAATCACCCAGCTCCAAATGTCAAGAGCCCGAGGTTGACAAACCCTAGTCTGGAGGTTTTCCTTCACCTATATTTTATTGCTGTTATTTGTTGAATAAGCTGGATCATTTGTCCTACAGAGTTCCCCGCAGTTCACATTTGCTAATAACACATCGTTTTATCATTTAAGGTATTTCTCTGTCTCCTGTATTTATTGGCAATTAGATTTAGAAGCTTCATCAGATTCAGATTCAACTTTTTCAGCAAAACTACTTTATTCTGTTTCATAGATAGTATTGTACACTTCCATGAGGGGGCATGTAATGTCTAACGATCTCTCATCACTATGGGAAGCTTGATGACCAATGTCGTATCCATTAAATCATTAGAAGTTGAAAAAATGTTGATAAGTGTATTTTTATAATTTCTTCATTTACTGCAAATGTCACTGTTTCTTGGAAATAGTTATTACAATGTTCGATATGAAAAGACTATTGTGCCTAGGACATTTACACATTCCTTATTTCTTTTTAGAAATATACTGTACCACCTTGATGAGAAGACAAGCCAGTTTTCAATCCTCCTGGAGGCGCAGGAGCGCTGCAAGTTACTTGCCTCAAATGAGACCCTTCAAGAAGCCCTGTCAAAGGTGTTGAACAGCATTAATTCAGCTCAGGTTTACTTCAAAGCAGGACTTGATGTGTTCGAGAGTGTCTTGGTTGGAAAGAACTGAGAAAACTCTCAGCATTTTAAGAAGTTTGTTTACAATTCCTCAAGCAAAAGCTCTAATCTAACAGGATTTTCTGACATTGAAGACTTCCCCCCAGTGACTTTTTATACAAGTCTAAAGCTATTATGACATTGTGTTTTTAAATGTACATTTAAAAGAGCATTTTGCACATTTAATATTTTCTTATATCGACATCTCTGAATATGTCAAAGCAAGTTATTGAAATAATCCTTAAGATTTATCTATTAAAAAGAAATCTGCTGTATTTTTATATATATAAAATATGTGGGGGGAAAAGTTCCAAGAAGTTCTGGACAATCTTCACTCCTAGGGATAAAACATATAGGAACAGAAGTTATTCCCTATGTTACAGCTTTTAATGACCTAGTTTCTATAATAGATGTGGAGAGTTGATATGGTTTCAGATTAACTTCACTAGTAAGTATTCAATATGAAGAATCCAAGTATTCCGACTGACTGATTGGTCGACCAAAACCACTTTGAATGTTTCTATTTTATGAAATGAAGTGCCTGTTTGTCATACAACTAGATGTAGTAATACACTGGTTATGAAATTGTATTTTTTAAGTATTAATGAAAAAAAGAGCCATAAACATTCCAGGGGAATATCTCAAAGTAGTTGCACAGAGCAATTTAAATGCAAATTTTTTCCTAACAACTTATAAGGTGACTAGCTTTGAAACCCCTAATTTGCCTCAGTTGATTTTGTACAAATTTCAGGAGTGATATAAGTCTTATGAGGGAGAAAATATTTCTGATTTCTTCTTCTGTTGGTTCTGTTGGAAGCACTGAAACCCAGCTACTCTGAAATGAAAGCATTTTGCATCACTCTTCCTTCTTGTATCTTTTCTGAAACTCCTTCTTATAAGGCGGTTTTAACAGAATACCATGTAATCTCCACAGGAAAGTAGCAAAATGTCTCTTTGAAAACCCAAACTATCTTAAAAAGCATCGAATTGCTATTTCTGCCACTGACAAAAAGGACTTACAATGAAAGAAATAGTTGTTTGATCAATGAAAAACTTCTTAATTCTGTGAAGAAACTTTTGATATTTTTCCTTCTTTATGCTTCCTTGTGACTAAGATGAAAGTAGCAGATATTCATGCTTCTAATTTTATGCAGAAAATACAGTGTTACTATAAGAGTGTGTCTTCCCCACACTTCAATTCTTCTCTCATGTGGAAAATGAAGTTTTTCCTATTGACATTGTCATGAAATGGCCCGAGCATCCACTATTTCCCCCAAAGCCTAAAATTCTGTCTGTTAGGTGACAGTTTAAACTTTGAGCTTTACCCTTAGAAATGTGCTTCTGGTATTGAATAAAGCAATTCCCCTTAGGAAACATATCCTCAGTATATTTTATGTGCATCATCTCTACCTAACACAACACCCTCTGTAGCTACTCCACCAGAGCAACATTACAGCCAACGCTTGTGTGTCGGAGTCTCCAGTTTTTATGGATAAGCATAAACCTACTCTTAGTTTAAAGGAAAGCTACAGTTGAGGAGAAAGAATTAATCAGTATTGATTAATTGATTTATAAGGGTCAGCTGTTCCTATCATAAGTAATGTTGATATGCTCAAGGCAAAGAGGAGAATTGATGCAATTAGCTAGATAATTCGAACAGAAATCCATTTTCCTATGAATTGCTTGTGCACACATATTTTTAAGTGACCAATGAAGCTACCTTACAAATTTTTTAAAACCAATGTGCTTGTTTGAAAATATTTCCCATGTTGAGGAGTATCTACACGGAAAGGCTAAGAGGACCAGCCTCCTGCGTGCCGCCACATCAGTGCCCTCGTTCGCTCCGCAGAAATCAATAGCAGAACAGAGGTGAGAAGACACATACAAACACCATTTGTGGCCAAATAAGAGAATGCTTTCTGCCAAAGGATCTTCCATATTTAACCAAGCTTCAGTGTGTTCTTCCAGTTTTTCATTTAGAGTTGAAGTTAATTTAAAGCAAGCAACATTTTGGCATCGAAGCTGAATTTAAAGCAAGCAAAAACAAATAATTATTAGTTCAGTAGTTTATCATTTTAAAACAAAATCCTAAGGAAACTTACTCCCTTAGTCTGTAAGACTGTCGAAAGCACAAAATACATGTTTGTACTTTTTTGTCTAAAGATTGCGTACCTACGTAAACCACACTGCATAGATAAAAATCTCATATTATGTATTCTCCCTTCTAGATTATATGATATTTGCTATTTGAAAAAAAACTAAAGTTAACTATGTACTAGTGTGTTTTTATTAGTCTATTTAAGAGATTATGTGAAGAAAGTAAATTATAGTTAAAACAGATGTCCACTAAATCTATAGATGCTGCTTTAGATCTTTGACTGCAACAAACCTCTTAACTAGAACATCACTGCTATGGGGTTCCTCTAAATTTATATCATTTTATTTTTTTTCCCTAACAAATCCAAGTAAATAAAATCCTATGGAAGTTAATAACAACTGTTTTTGGTGAATTGATAGTAGGTTTAAACTGTTGTGGAGATATCTGGGTGCCTGGTGCTTCTCACAATCTGTACATAGAATGGCTCCAGGGCATAAAGAGTCACAAATGGTTATTCTCCCAAGAAAATGTGGCAGATGTTCGCCACTTAAATTTGGGTTCAGGAAGAGTATACGTGAGCTACTGCCCTTTGCGGAAAAGCAGAGGTTCTGTAAAAAAAAAGCGTAAGTGACATTCTGGTCTAAGCCCTAGGAAATTACCTTCAGCCAGAGAAAGAAAGCATTGTCACTCCGATCAGATGCAGTGAGTGAAGCCAAGGTGATTAGGAACATGGATATAGTCACAGGTTTAGTTAGAAAAAACACTAAACTAAAAAGCACTGGAATTTAATTTCTCTGCTTTCCCATGCAATACATTCAACTCTCTCCCTGAGGTGCTAGGGCTGCACATGACTTTTTCCAGTGCATTCTATGTAACTAGCCATTCAACCAGAGGCTATATGGGGTGGAATCACTGCTTTTAAGTAAGGGCTAGCTCATTCTCTAACTACACATGAAAAACAAAACTGTCTATCCCAGGGAACCCAGGAAAAGGACACCAAGACTGGGTACTTTGAGGAAATGGGGAGAGTCTTTACATGACAACAGAAGTCAGGAAGGAGGGCACTGAGTAAAGTGCTTTTCTGAGAGGACATTTTAGCTCTATATTAAATCAGCAATCTAAATCAGTGTTTCCCAAAATGTGGATTTGGAGGAGTGAGGCTTAGGAATACTCATCTTTAGCAAAATTGCCCAGATAATACTTAAGTACACTGAAATTTAAGAATTTCTAATCTACACTGATCCTGGCTCTTCAGAAAACATTACTTGGTAATATATACACATAAAATAAAAGTCACAATAACAGAAAGGACCTAAAACTTTGCTATTAATGGCACCATTAGAAAAAAAGAGAACCCATTGCGTCTCTCAAGAAAGGATGCAGACACAGCTAACATCTGTGCTTACTACATGTCAGGCAGTGTTACAGAATTTTTCACAGATGTGTTTCTTCTAATTGAACCACCACAATAACCGATTTTATTTTTTTTATTTTTATTTTTTAAATTAAAAAAAAATTTTAAGATTTTATTTATTTGCGAGAGAGACAATGAGAGACAGAGAGCGGGAGAGGGAGGAGGGTCAGAGGGAGAAGCAGACTCCCTGACGAGCAGGGAGCCAGATGTGGGACTTGATCCCGGGACTCCAGGATCATGACCTGAGCCAAAGGCAGTCGCTTAACCAACTGAGCCACCCAGGCGCCCGTCACAATAACCCATTTTAAAAATGAAGACATTTGGTTGAGCGACTTGTCCCAAATTCCACAACTAAAGAAAATGGCTGAGGTGTCTCCCTGCTGGGCTATCTGGTACGCAGTCCCGTGTTCCTCACACTGAGTGCTGCAGAAAACATCCAGAGAATCTTTTGGTTATAGAACATGATGCAACTGAAAATTTTAATGTATTTCTACACAACTGATCAGACTGTGTAGTCTGCCACTTTACTGGTTTAATTAAAGAGTTTGAAGAAACAAATTACATCGTTCCCCATGATGTTTGCCCACCCTAGCAATGGTGGGCGTGTGTAGATAAATTAGAAGCTATCTATAAAAGCATTAAGAATAAGTGTACCATTATAAAATATCATGGTACTAGATGAAACAACATAAAAAGATATGAGAAGCCACATATTTCACAATTGCCTCCTCAAAATATCTGTATAATTTCACTGAGGGAAAAAAAAAAGAGCAGGTGCTGGGATTTACAACCACGGTTTTGTATCATCCTTAAAGAGTCAGAAAAACTAATTGATTTTTTAAAATAAATATATATATATATATATATATATATATATATATGGCATACAGTAGATTTCCCCATTGAAAAAATAGGTGCATGAAAATAAAATAAACAATGAATGATCTGTTACATCTGCCTAATAATGAATCAGCAACTTTGCCTCAAATGAAAAACTAGAATTATTTGCACAATAAGTTGGTAGACCCAGGCAAAAATGTTCTCAAGAGACATTCTGTGGAATGTGTAATTAATTACTCCAAAAATTAATCTTTCTCTGAGGGTAGCACATTGTCATCTCATTGGTTTAATAGGCTATTTAAATGTGCCTTAGCCACACGTTCTCCTAGTAGAAAAGAATTATTTTAAACTGCCAATCCATGTGTTGAGCGGAAGGGAAATGGATCCACATATTCCAATAAATATATCAGCAACATAACTGTTCCATCACGAGATCATGGATGTAACCAAAGGGAAAGCTAAACAAACAATGTGAAATTTAAAGAAAAGAAATACTCTGCCTACCTGCTAGTGAATCTGTATTTCTTGCATAAATTTAAATTGCAGGCTTAAAAAAGCCTCAGAATCTGCAATTCTGAAAGATGTTTTAAAACTTCACAGAGTGCTAGGCACCCCATCAAATACAAATATTTTTCAGTTAAGTGAGTTTTGTGCAATTCAGAATCACAGGTGGCAAGAACTTGAAAAGACAATTGCAAAAAAAATCTTTAAAATGTAGCCTTTTCTGGTCATCACCATATCCGCTCAATTTTCTGTTTTCTTTTTCTAGATATACACTAGCAATGGGATTAGTAATTTTAGGATCTATTCATCTCAATATATATTTATCTGTTAATCAGCCAGTTTTATTTCCATAATTCCTTTCCATTATCCTTTGAAGATACACACTGAAATGCCTTTAGCATACCTGGGACTGCCAAGAATCTCAAGACCTTGCTCATTATGAGATGACATTTTTCTTAAAGACATTTATAATCTCATATGCAGATTGTATCTAAATTTACAAAGCAAAGGATTAAATTGAGGCACTTTCAGGGAGCATTCAAGAAAAAGGAGTTGCTTCAAATTTTAATATACTTCAGGTTAGATTATTTTGTGTTTGAATTATATAGTTATATAATTTTCTGTAACCAAAATGGTAATTTTGATGTTTTCAGCCAAAATCCAATCAATGAAGCCAAGGAACTGCGTGGCTACTCTAATTTCTTAAGCAGGATTCCGTCAAGAATTAATTCAGGAGCAGTAGATTCAGTGCCTACATCTAGACAATGCTTTAATGAGTATAGACAGAGCCTAGCAGTATTCCATCTACTTCCTTTGATGTCATAAGCCAATAAGCATGGAGGTAGCTTTTCTCAGAAGGAAGCAGATTTTATTTCCCAGGGGCTAATTAATATGCACCACCTCCGTCCCCAGAGAACCCCACAGGTGGTTGTACTATGCCATATGTCAGGTGCTATGTTCCAGCAAGCTCAAGAGATTAATATACAATCATTATTATGAATTATGTTGCATTGAAGTTAATGTCGGTCTTTTGTTCTAATTAAAGTACAAACTTGGCATCTGAATAGAAGCTTAGCTAGAGAAGTGGAGTTAAAGAGTCTCTGTTTTAATGAACTACATATATTTTTCAATCAAAATGTG